TTTTTTTTTAAAGCTGACACAAGTTGCTTGTATAAAGAATAGTTTGGAATGAGGTAAAGGAGTAAGACTACCACTGGTAGTGTTGCAGTTGTTAAGAAGAGCTGACAGTCGAGTAGCCTAAGCATGGTGACAGTGAGGGTATGAAAAAAAAAACAGCAAGGTTTGAAGAAATGTATCTTGAGGCACAATGATACAGGACTCGAATATGGAGGGCGAGGGAAAAGGAAGAGTTGAGTATGCCTCCCCAGGTTTGCAACATAAGCAACTACATGGTCAGAATTACCGTTTACCGTTAAGATAGGAATGGAACGTGGAGACAAGGGGCCTCAAGAATTCACTGTTAATTAGTTCAAGAGGCCCAGGAGACAGCTGAGTACAGGAGAGATAAATACAAGTCTGGCACTTAGGAAAAAAAGATCTCGGCTAAAGATATAAATTTGGAATGACTTGGGAATATAGGTGGCACTTTAAGCCACTGGAGATAGTAAGATTCCCTCAAAGAGTAAGAGGAGAAAACAGCCTAGATCTAAGCTCAGATGAAATACATGTATTTGATGAGAACCTACAAGGTAATGGACATTTACAAAATCATTAAGAAAAAGATCAACAACACAAATAAAAACAGGAAAAAGAACACAAACAAGTCACAGAAAGATAAATACAAATGTTATTAAAGTTTTGAAAGGATATGTGGTCTACCTTAAAAGAAATGTAAATTAAAACTTCAATGAAATAGAATTTTAACGTATAAGACTGGATGTTTTAAATTTCTTAGCACTGCATTAGTGAGGATGTGGGTGAGTTAGTGGTCTCATAAATAAGCAGTCTCATAAATAAGTAAGTATTCTCCTCCTGGAGTGCAACTTGATAGTTCTTATCATTATTAAAAATTGCACATGTCTTTTGACCAAGACATTCTATTTCTATTAATTTAGTCTGGAGGTATATATCTACACATGTAGCAAAAACAAGAATAATCAATGCAGCAGTGTTTGCAGTAGGAAAAGAAAGAATGGAAACAGGTTATGTGTCCATCAGAGACCTGGTTAAGAAAATTAGATAAAAGCAAACAATGGGTTATTAGCTATAAAAAGCAAGAGGGAGAACTATATGTACTTACACAGGTC